ATGCAGGACTTTTACTTGTAATTAGAGTAGTTTTACATGTGTTGTACGTTTACTTATTTAAGGTCTTTTACACTAACATCCCACTGTGTTTTCAGATTGCTACAGATGAGGACAGTGGCGTGTTGTTGTATAAAGGGGACAATGATCACATTGCCATGGAGCTGTACAGGGGACGCCTCAGAGTCAGCTACGATACCGGATCTTACCCTCCTTCTGCTATATACAGGTACATGCACATACAAGCAGAAATGTCCAACAGCACAGCTCAGTGACATTCACATGATGGATGATATACATGTTTAGACTGAATCTCTTCACACTCTCTCTCTATTCCTCGCTCAGTGTGGAGACAGTGAATGATGGCAGCTTCCATGCTGTGGAGTTGGTTGCATCAGACCAGACTCTGTCTCTGTCCATCGACGGCGGGCCGCCCAAATCCATCAACTCCATCAGCAAACAGTCCACACTCAACATAGATTCTCCACTTTACCTGGGAGGTAAGGACCCAAGTGCAGTGTGTGTGTGTGTGTAAATGACTAGATACAAATACATGATAGATACTTCATTGTTCCACTGTAGGTCAAAAAGGATAAGGATAACTGCATAGATTTATGTATTCATCAGGAAAATCTGGCTTATTCCGTAAAGCTTTAAAAAAAAAAAAAAAGAAAACTGCAGTTGCTTTGAGAAACAAGAAGGACCTGAATAATTGTTTTGGTCAAATTTGTCTTCCTGTGCTGTTGCATTTTTTAAATATTTACTGGTTCAGTGCATTGATCGTCACACAATATCCTTATATTTAATATTTAAATAATAATATTTAGAAAAAAAAGGTTGTTTTCCATTAGAGAAAAGGCAGAGATAGATTAACTTAAAATCTCTGGAACAAAACCTCAAATCACAAGTTACCTTGATGTGCATTTGGGAAGAAACTAATGCACCCTTTTATCACTGGCCAGCTTGATTACTGCTTTCTTTAGTGGAATACCCAAGACAAAGATAAACTACAGATTATTCAAAACACTTCAGCATGTGTGCTGGGCTGGTCTGGTGTTTGGTCTTCAAATCTGTCAGTGGAGCATGACTGACTATGACTATGACCTGACTATTTTTATCTTGTGTCATGTCCGATCCTCTGACATGGACATTTTAGTTTTAGCCAGGACTAAACCCTGTTAGTGGTCTTCATCTGTTAAACATTCTGTCTGATGAATGAGGCGTCCCAACAGTTATCATTTACTAGATTCAAATTACTAATAACACTAGTTTTTATTATTAAATCCGTTGTCTTTTAATCCTCTTATGTGACCTTTTATTACTTTGTATTGTTTCTTTGTGAGATGCACTTTGCAAGCTTGCGCAAACGTTTTTATATAAAGAAAATTTTATTTGATTTTGATTTAATTTGTGCACTATATATATATATATATATATATATATATATACTATGGACCTGCAGTAAAGATGTTCAATCCTGTTCAATCACTCCTTTCTTCCTCCAGGTATGCCAGAACGTGCCTCAGCTTCCGGGGGTCTCTCGTCTCTTCAGCATAGCTCAGGCGGACGCAACGGAACCAGCTTCCATGGCTGCCTCCGTAACCTGTACATCAACGGGAAGCTCCAGGACCTGGGAGCCGGGCTAGGGCCAGGGAGTCCAGGCTCTGGGACTGCACAGAGCACCACCAGACAGTGGCTGGGCCACGGGGTGGAGCCTGGCTGCCAGCCCTGCCAGAGAGGCGCCTGTGTCCAGGGTGACTGTCACCCAACAGGTCATCGTGGCTTCACCTGCACCTGCCACCCAGGCTGGACGGGGACACTGTGTGACCAGCAAGTCAACAACCCCTGTGACGGCAACAAGTGAGTGTTTTCTGTGCCACGTTGTGTTGGTGATTACAGTGTTAGTACGAATTTAAAACCACAGTGAGTACAAGGTTTTTGTTCAAGGGCTTATAAGCGTTTGGATCCAAGGAGAGACTTTGCTGGAAGATTTGTGTATCTTTATCTTTCCTGTCTCTTCATCCTCCATCCTCAGGTGTATCCATGGCACCTGCCTTCCAATCAATTCCTACTCCTACTCTTGTCGCTGCCAGCCTGGTTTTGCTGGCGTACTCTGTGATGAGCAGGACCAGGATGCAGCCAACCCCTGCAGTCTGTCTCGCTGTAAACATGGCAAATGTAGAGTGTCAGGCCTGGGCAAGGCATACTGCGAGTGTAACAGCGGATATACAGGAGAGGCGTGCGACAGAGGTGAGCAAAACATAGACGTATTCTTCTCACATTAATAATATGTGATGGTTTTCAAGCTTTTGAATCTAAAGCATGTTTCTTTTAACAGACCCTCTTCTAAACTTCTACTTTACTCTCTCTTACTTGTTACCTCTCATCTATAGTCTCTCAGCAGTGTGTCTCTAACAGTGTTTAGTGGCTCTGCATTAACGCTTCTAACCCGTTGCTTTTCCAACTCAGCATCTCCTGAGCTTCCTCTTAATCCCTCGCGAGGGGTTACTCAGGTGAGACTGTCCAGTCACATCTCACTGTCCACCTATTTTCTCTTTTTTATCTCTCGTTTATCTCATGGTGGTTCATCTCCAGTGCAGCCCATTATGCATCTACCCACTGATGCTGCTTCACCTTGTTTTCAACTCATACAACATGTAGCTTAAGTTGTTTGCTTTATATTTTTCATATTTCAAGCAATATGGAAATTCAAGAAGAAAAATAATATAACATAATAAAGTTTTTCTTATTCAAGAGAGACAATGTTGCCTTAATTGGCATTTGACTATTATAATTTGGATTTTTCTTAAGACACACAATCTATTTCTTAACTAAAGGTGACAAGAAACAAGTCTAAAAAGTGGATTGCATGATCAAATGTATACCATAAATATTTAATACATAAAAACATGAAGTTGTACCTCATGGGCAGATTTGTTTTGTATTTAGTTCTGCAGTGTATCATCCCTCAATTCACTTTGTCTCATTTTACTGTCCACTTATATTTTGAGCTACTGTTTAGTTGTTTTCACCATTAAGACTCATCATTTTTGCCATTGTGACGTTCTTGCTTTAAAGCAATTAAAACCGTGGATCACTTGTGACCTTTCTGTTCCCTCCTCATGCCTGCAGAGGTGGCCTGCCGAGGGGAACGGGTCCGAGATGTCTACCAGAGACAGCAAGGCTATGCGGCGTGCCAAACCCAGGAGAAGGTCTCCCGTCTAGAGTGTCGGGGCAGCTGCCCGGGGGGCGCAGAAGGACAGGACACCTGCTGCACCCCTCTCCGCAGCAAGCGCAGGAAATACACCTTCCAGTGCACTGATGGCTCTTCTTTTGTCCAAGAAGTGGAGAAAGTGGTCAAGTGCGGCTGTACAAAATGTTCCTCATAAAAAAAGAAAAAAGAGACAACATCCTTGGCAGATTTCCTCCCCTCCAGATATGTTTTATGTTCCTGCCCGCCTTACTTGATTACCATCCCCCTTATCCAAGGTCCCAAATCCTCTTGAGAAACCCCCTCACCCTCCACAGTCCCACCCCACCAACCCTGTTTTTTAAAAACCCTTAAAAAAAGGCAAAAAAAACAAGAGAAACAACTAAAAAAGAGTTTCTTTTCTTGTCAGTGCTGGACTGATGATTGATGCTTCCTCGGTGGGGATGTTGAATTGTATTGTAAAGTACAAAAACAGACTTATTTTTTATTATGAAGTGGAGAAAAAGACAAAAAAAAAAAAAACACAAGAGTTGACTTTTTCCTTACATCTACTTCTTTTTGTTGGTCATGATGACTCCAATGGTGTGCCACACTGTCTCTTCCCTGGAGGACTGACTGGTCGGTCACTGACGGCTGACCGCCTCCTGTAGACTTCCTGCTTCCTGTCTGTGAGTTGTGTGTTTTAGGAGTAACCTTAACTGGTAGTACCACAGACTCACCACTCGGAGGAGCTGCATTAAGGCATGGGAAACGGAGGGCAGTGATAAGCCCGTACAACACAAGAAACCACCACTATAGTCTGAGGTCTCCCTTAACAGGCCTCCTGAACCCTCTGAGACTGTGTGCACGATCCTACACACAGCTGTGCTCAAACTTGTGGTATTTTTTACAGCTACTGAACAACACAAACACACACACACACACACACATACAAATGCTCTCACTTGTAGAAGTTATAAATATTACCTGCCAGGTTAAATACACTACTCTCTGTTTATCTACCCCCAGTCATGAATGACAAGTATTTATTGTATCATAAATACCTGTACTTATTCAGTAGATCCCCTATGTATCAATCTGATTCTTTTAATATATATTAATTTATATTTGTCCTTATTTTTGTATTAAAAAGACATAATCTGTCAAGATAGCTGAACTAACAAAATGGTGTCCTTTATTTTGGTTGAAGAGAAGTTGTTTTTTTGATCACTGAAACTATTGTGCTTGCCAGAGACCTTAGTTACATTTTAATCTGCAAATGTGACGTGAAGACATTGTATATTTTTGTCGCGTTTCCTCAGAGTTTGTACTGTGCCATTACCAGAAGGTCTTTATATTAGAGTATAAATGTATAGATAATTTCCCTACCTATGTATTTCACACACAAATCTTGTGAGTAGCATTGACCCTAGAGGATGCTTAGAACTGTTTTTACCTTTTTAACAAATTTATGCTTAAAGAATACTGTGACTTTTTCTAAATGAAACTACTTTGTTAGCCCCTTGATCTCCGACGTTAACATGTTGCTGCTAAGTTTTTGTACCGTAGACTTGGATCCTGATCTGTATGTTATATAGAACTTCCTGCTCCTACTGTACAGGGGCACCTTGTGTAACAGATAAATATGTCCCCCCACCTCTACACATGTGCATTGTGCTTTATATTCCCCCTCTTCTCCATCCCCAGACTAATGTCAGTTCCCTGACTGATGTTTGTTTATTAAACACAATATTTACCTCACACTCCTCACCTTTGCTTTTTTTCTGTCAAACTTAGAGGTCCAATTCAGAAATGTTCCCCCTCAACACAAGAGAAGCACAATAATGTGGACAGTAATCTTCCATTATTCTTTAAAGATACTGTGCACAAAATGGAGAATACAGCAGGAACTGTGTGTCTTTACCTCTCTTCATCCCCTCTCAGTCTCCAGTTGAACATTTTTATTCCTGATCTCATGCTTCTCCACACTCCCTCAGTATTTCTGAGGAAATTTGGAGAATGCAGACCAGCTTTTTTCTTGTCCCACTGTAAACAATTGGACCGATATTTCTTATTCTCAGCAAATCCCATAAATGAAATAAAAACAACAATGACTTGTTCCCACTAACAAGTGTTGTCTTTTCAGCCAAAGCTTGATTTAATTCATTCCTCTGTGTCACAGACCTCCATTATTGTTGAAAAAGTATTAAAAACATGCCGATAAGTGTCAGGGGCACATGTTCCTTTATCATGATGAATGTGGGAACTGTAGTTTATTTTGAGTTAATACCACATTTTTAAGGATTTATGTCTTCGGTATCAGTAATCAGCTTGAAGCTGAGAGCCACATATGGAGAAGAGAAGTCAGACACTCATTGTTGGTTTTTGGTCTTTTCATGGGATTTGCTGAAAAAATGCCAGCCTTATCCTTTAATATATAATAATAAACAGTCAGTGTCTACTACTTAATACTGTATTTTTGCCCCAAATTACTATTGATTATTTTTTTTTAAAAGTGATTTTGTTCTGTTGCGGAAGAGAGTCTGTAACCACTAACACTGTATTTAGAAGTACTTAAGGCAGATTATCATTGAATTGAAGTTATAAAATCTCTAACGATAATAACAATAATAATAATTGGCCTGGAAGGAAACTTCATGCCAAACTTGGGAGACTAGCTGATATTTGATAAACGCCGACAAATGAACCACCTATAATATACGCAGCCCCATTAACAACAAACTTTGCTGCACTGTGTGTTCTGACACCTTTCTATCAGAACCAGCATTAACTGTTTCAGCAATGTGAGCTACAGTAACTCGTCTGTTAGATTGGACCTTCGCTCCC